GTCGGCTGTGTTGTTGGTATTGGAGGATTTGTGATTTTGCTCATAACTATTTTGAGTATATATGGTTGTCGTAAGTACGGTCATCAGCAATCTCTTTTCAGTACAAAAAAAAACGGAAAATTTAAACACAACATCAATGAATTCGCACCTCTTGGAAATCAACCGCCGACGACAGGGTCTGCATCGCCGTATCTTATACAATCGACTTCTTTTTGACTCTCCATCTATCTTTCAGTCATTTAACTTGAACTACATAAGCTGAGCATTTTATTTTCGATAATATTCTGCGGTACACTACAATTTTTCAAAATTTAATAAGTTTCTTATTTTTATATGATTGAATAAAGTATTGATTATTGTATCGAAATCTGAAGTTTATGTTTGATTTATTTTGTACTAGACTAAACAATTTAATGAATTTCAAAAACAGGCAAAGTAGAATTTTGACACGCTCATATCTCACTAGGACAAAAACACAATTGTCCCAAAAAGTAGTCTTAGTGTCATATTAACTTTGACTTAAACTGATGTCTTATCTATCTTTATTTTTGCAAAAAAAAACAAAGCTAAAACTAGACTTCTAATTTTTGGATAGCGTACTGTAGATAACATAAACGTTTTTATAGTAACTCGGTTGTTTTGTCTTTATCGCCGTATTCGAACGGGTGTGTAGGAATTCTTCGATGGCAAGATTATCGTACTAGAGTGTTTCTATATTCGAGTAAAGACGAAGACGAACAAATTGATTACCGTCAGTCATTTATGGTCCAAGCAAATCGATTACTATACATTTTCTAGTAATCGATTAGCATCGACTTTTAACTTTAATTCGTTGTCATTCATTCTTTTTCTATGAAAAAAAAAGAAATATGAAAATTTTTAGAAATTGATTATGACAAATAGTTATTTTCAAATTCTAAATCAGTTATAATCACTAGACTTTGAAAATCGTCTACATTCAATAAATTTAGAAACCGTAAAAAAAACAATATATATGATGCAAATCACTAAAACATCAGTAACTTTCGAAAACTAATTTTAATCATTTTGAAATATTCATTGGGAATCTATGCATTTTTATTTGAAAGAGTTATAGTGCATTGATGTCGAGTTCATTTATACTTGACAATCATCATTATATTATGGAAGCGAAAAAGTTACTTAAGCCTTTTGTGACGCAACAGTTTGAAAACATTTGAAACCTGAGAAACTGAGTCAAATCAGTTCAAATCTTAGAATGATCTATTTATTTCTCGAATACAATCAGATTGCCCATGGTTACTTGCAATATGTATTGCTCAATATTCTGTTAAACTGAAAAGTCTACAATCTGCGCAATAGTAATTAATTCAATTTTGTCTGTTTATCTGAAACATTTTCGAAAATGACTGCCTTCTTAGTGATTTTTTGAACGCTATCATCGATTATGACAGAGGAGCAAAGGAAAGAATATCTGTTTCACAGATCATGACAGACCCCTCGACATACTACGTTCAACTTGTGAAATCAGTAAATTTTTCATTTCATCTGGCTGTTGACTTAAATAATGAAACAAATTAAAGCCTGAATATTTTTTCTAAACGCTTAGTTATATTCATATATTATCAGTAAATAAATCAAACTGTCAATAGAAAATTTACTGTTTGATAACTATTATGTTTGCTTAAGAAATTAATAATTGATTCAATATTAGAATTAAAGTACCAATAATTAATTGAATTTGCTCATTAAATATAATAGTATTTGCATCAGTAGTCATTTTTTATTTTTCGATGAAAACGTTTTCATGTAAATAGAAAAGTGATTCTTCATGTTGGCATCATCAGTCAAAAAAAATGTCGTATATTATAATATAAAGCGTGGGTGTGTGAAGAGTAGAGCAATACCCATGCCCATACCGTCGTCATGGCAATTAGATTAAACTGTTGGAAACCACTATGTGCTTCTAAAGATGTTAAAATTGGTGAAAAAAATATGTCATCATAGAGCATCAAAATCTTAAAAAGTATTACTGATGCAATAAACTTATATTAGTTGTAGTTACACTATTTCTACTGATGTATAAATTTCTAAAAAAAAAGGAACAAAAATAGATTAAATACCGATTTGTTTTAAATTAATCACTAAGCTTTTCAAATTATTCACTGTGTTAAAACTACTGGTCGCTTAATAAAAAATATGCATACTGAGCAATTAAATATAAGCCTTTAAGGGAATAATAACTAAACGTATCAGACAAAATCATCGTAAAAATCATTTATCGCGTTTCTTGCTTCTTGTTATTGAGTTACTTACTCAGTACTTCTATCGCAAACATTAAAATCTCACACTTACTCCTCATAAATAAATGTCAGTGAACCGTTTAATATTGTACCTGTAGATAATATGAATTATTTTATCATTGATAAGAAAGCGATTATAAAACTTTCAAGAACACATGTTGAATGATGCAGAATCATAGGTTTTTTAATTTAACGTATTCACTTGAATATAACAAAAATTGTAAATATAGATGAGGAAAATTAAAACGCGTCCTTTAGAAGACGCCTCTTGAATAAAAATAAAGTAAAAGTGAAATGTGTCATTATCGTTGAACATCTAAGGGAAACTACAACTCTTGCTTGGACTGTTGTGATTGCACAGTTGTTACTGTTATTATTCGAGCGTCTCGATGAAATCTTTCGCATATTGCTTTGCTTTATCATATCCAACAATGTTGTATTGATCACCATTGGTATACCATTCGAGAAGAGTTTCTTTATTAATGCATTATTGATGAAGAAAAAATTTAAGCATCGTCGTCATTATTTGATCTATGATTTAGAATTAAACAATTCATAGTGAATATATTGATAGCCTTACCAGCCTCTGTATCATTACTAAGATGATATACGAAGACTTGTATGGCAAGAATGACTTGTAATCTATCATCGTCATCAACTATGTATTTCTGAATAATCGGAAGACGCTTTAGTATGAAATTAGTCTTAGTTGAAGTCGCATTTTGATGTTATGTCTCAAGAAATGAGAGCACCAGTACCATTCTATTAAGTTTGCCTTTCTTTCCACTACTATTTTGCACTCTCTATTCAAGGAAAGAACATAATGTATAGTCAAAAATATTTTCGGTTGACCTTACATTAAGATAAGCACTTAAACGACTATCACCGAATGTAGAAACATCTGCAAGTCGAACTATCATTCTTTTGAAGGGCCGAGGATAGAGAAGAATGTTTTGATTTGGTGCAGGACGATCTTGCGCAGATCCTATTCTTGCAGAAAATTGTTGATTTTCTGCTCGGTGATCTTGAAAGTATGTATAATTAAAGTTATTATAATTTTAACAAATCAATATTAAATATTTATTTAGTGTCACTAGAGACCGATCTATGCGACCTTCAAAATGTTATGTTTTGAAAATTCTCATGAATTAGATTATTTACTAATACTCATAAAATCATATGAATCGATTATTTTGACTTTCAGCGTGTTTATTTCTTTTCTTTGGTTCTTCGTTGTTAATACTTCATTCTTATGGCTTGAACAAAATCGAAGCGTTTTCTAACTTCCATAGATAGTCCCCTAGTAAGATCGTCCTTTTTTTTATTGAGATATTGTCATCGATTTTCAATTGTATTCATATGTGCGACAAACAGCTAGTTGACTTTTTCCAATGTTATTGTTCGTCATCTGTTACATTCCGTCTCAGCATTAGCACATGTCTCAAAAGTAGTTTCTAAGATAGCCATTATTTGTTGCTCGAATTCATTAGCTTCTTGCATGAGATTGTTAGAGACAGGTAATAAAGCTTTTACATGTACGCCCATATGAATGAGATATAGATACTTATTGCAATGCAAGCATATACACGACTGCATCATATTACATAAAGGTTCTTCACGATCAGCCATTCTTGTGCTTGTATGTTTCGTGGTTTATGATGTCGTTGTGCAAAAAGAGAAAATCTCGTGTTTTCTTTCAATTGACTACATGTTTCTTTTATTCTTTCTTCTATTTTCCTTTATATCTACTACATGCCTATATCAAAAGCACACTGCTACTCATTCGACTTACCTGAATAGCGTGAAAAGTAAAAATGTCAAAAATAAAACATTAAAAAAGGATATGGGTGTTGATATGACTGTGGGTAGGGTTCAGGTGAATGAAAGTCGCTGAAGACCACACTTACACACACTCACATCCTATTCTTCTTACTGGTTTATTAATGCATCCGTTTAATAGTAGTTGATTATCTAACATTAAAATAAAGAGTATCTATTAGTAACACTACAACAATATCTTTTCTGTTACTACTTTCATACATCGTCTTCCGACCAAACCAAACTCACATTTACCACTCATTCCTGTGACAAAAAAAGGAAATGAAATCACTCGAATTTTTTAAAAATCTATCATAATAATAGTTCGCGAAGTACTTTAATAAAATTGCATTTGATAGTCTCGTTATGTGTCCCTAATGTCTCTCCGTATAGATAAACGTGTGCGATTTCACATACTAATGTGGTGTAATGGTCAAATGTCTCATTCAAAGCTTATAGAATATTTTATAGTGTAGATCTCAAAATAGCAGACATCTAGAATACCAGATATTTACTTTAAAACAAGTGTTCCACAGAGACAAACAACAGTGCCTTTTCCAGTTGACTCATTTTTCTCTATCCTTTATTATTATATCGTCATTTACATATCTATTTCATTTTGTCAGCTTGCTGTTTTGGATTTGTTCGATATAGACAAAAATATCTCGTTTTGATAATCTTAAGAGAATACAAAAAATAATCTGGACTATAATAAAATATGAAATGATGTGAGTGGGCGCTGCTGTGAGTATGGCTGTCAGTGTGGGTCGTTTCTTCAGCCATATCCCAAGAAAACAAGTTTCGTTATTGATATGTGCTATACATTAATCAAACGTGGAAGAGAAAACGATCTCGAACATTGAAGAAATCACACTTCATAGTGAACTAACAAAAAAAAAGTTAATCATCTATTTCATTGTGACATTCTTGAAGTTCAATTGTATAATCGATAGAGTCTGGTTCATTGGCAGTAAGTCTAACATTTGTTACTTCGAAAGTTGAATATGGTAGAATAATGATCTCTTCTTCACCTTCCACAGCCGATAGGTTTGTAATATCAAGTGCAGTTCGTCGGACACCTGGTTTCAAAGTATATATACATATGCATGTTACCAAATCTGGACATTTGCCGGTAAAATAAAGAGCAACCTGCTTGCATTTTGAGGTCGACACAAATGTTTTGTTCATAAGACGTGTGCCAACGCGATACGACACTACGACCTCCTGTGGTACAGTCATACCACGATAAACTTTTTGATTTTGATTGGGTCGATACTTCTCTAGTTGCTGATCATAAACGAGAATACAGGCAAAGTCTAGTGGACCATACCAATATGTCATAAAAGGAGCATCTGGATCCATGCCAATGTCCTTCAAATTATTGGTACTTACCAAATTAGCTAAATGCGAATTCACAAGAGCATGAAAACTATTTGCCAGTGTATATGCTTTGACTACTTTTTCGACATCATTTTGGCTGCAAGCTTCTTTGAGTAACTTGTCAATATCTTGATATGCTTTCAGACCCAAAGGAGCTTTTAAATCACCTTCCAAATATAAAGTTCTAATATCATCAACAATGCCAGAAAAGCTATTGCATTCCCACGTACGTCGCAGACTACGTCGATAGTTTCGTGCTCGAATCGTTACTGCAGTATCGACAATAACCCATTCTTTGTTGACTATCGGTGAATCTGTAAGCCAACTAGGACGTTGACCCATGAAGAATTTTACATTAAATTAGAGTTTAATTGAGAAAAAGATATTCAACGAAACTTAAATCTGAAACAAATTTATTTCTTACAAAAAATTGAATGTTACAACGATAAATAAACAAATACAGAATAAATAAGACTGAAATCATACTTGATTCTCTTTTATTTTTCAACTGTGGATGTAAAAAAGATTTTTTTTTTGAATCTGAAAGAATAACATATCTTCACTTAGGAAGCATTTCAAAATGTTTGCCGTTCGGTCGGCCGCTCTGCCTTTTTGCCACGACATAACGGATTTATTTTACATTTTGATATATTATTTGTTTCTTTTCATGCATGTATGCGTATACACGAAGTATATTTTTCTATTTCTATTCAATATTCTTTAACTCTAGATTATTCATTTTCTCCAAAAACAAGGAATTTTTTTTGATTCGTGATAAAACTTTTGTCCAACTTTATTACGTTGAAAACGTGATCATGATATTTGTCTCATTCTTTCTTGAGACTTTTCTTTTATTTTGAATATCAGCCATCTGTAGCTTGACATTAAAAAAAAAATTCTTTAAAAAGTACTTGAAAACTTGATAAAACATATTATAGATGAATTAAGTTTATAGAGAATAGCTTGTGTCAAATTGAATATGTAGTTAAATTGTAGTTTATGAGAAATAGTGAAATAAAATAGCATCCATTCATCTATCTTTCTCTCTTTTTCAGTCGTTTTGCTAACAGAAGAAATATTCACTTATCAGGTTCTCTATTTCTCCTCTCCTTTGATCTTTTCATCTCTTTGATGTTCTTCTCTTCTCTAATTTAAAAAAAAATGAATGATACTGAAACGATGCAGAAGCTAAATAATATCAAGAACGATATGAACTGTTTAAAAAAGACAGGGTGTATGGAAGGGATAAAAGACTAAAAGTTCCTCAATGGTGTTAGCAATGAAATCAATTTATCTGCTAAAGTTTTGCTTTTACATATGAATATTTTTTTACTATTTTGATAAATCCATTATAAAAAAATTTTGATATTTCTTTTAATAAATTTCTGTTCACAAATAATGATTAATTTTTTAAACATTTTACATCATTCTTCATATCATTTAGCTTCTATATCTTTTCAGTGTCATTCATTTTTTTTTAAATTAGAGAAGAGAAGAACATCAAAGAGACGAAAAGATCAAAAGAGAGGAGAAATAGAGAACCTGATAAGTGAATATTTCTTCTGTTAGCAAAACGACTGAAAAAGAGAGAAAGATAGATGAATGGATGCTATTTTATTTCACTATTTCTCATAAACTACAGTTTAACTACATATTCAATTTGACACAAGCTGTTCTCTATAAACTTAATTCATCTATAATATGTTTTATCAAGTTTTCAAGTACTTTTTAAAGAATTTTTTTTTTAATGTCAAGCTACAGATGGCTGATATTCAAAATAAAAGAAAAGTCTCAAGAAAGAATGAGACAAATATCATGATCACGTTTTTAACGTAATAAAGTTGGACAAAAGTTTTATCACGGATTAAAAAATTCCTTGTTTTTGGAGAAAATGAATAATCTAGAGTTAAAGAATATTGAATAGAAATAGAAAAATATACTTCGTGTATACGCATACATACATGAAAAGAAACAAATAATATATCAAAATGTAATTAAAATAAATCAGTTATGCCGCGTCAGAACGGCAAACATTTTGAAATGCCCCCTTAGTATTGAATACAGTTTGATACAATCATCAGTATGCTTCGTTTAAGATCGAAATAAAAAAATGCTCTTGATGATTATAGTCGGGATTGTATGATTTCATGAAAAGACTTTTCTTAAATGACTGAATATAGTAGTCATGATTATTCATTGACAGCAAAACTTTTCTTTACAGTAAAATGCAATCGTCGTTGTATTATTAACTGGTTTTTTTTCTTGTCTTGGCAAACATTATTTGAAACGCCTATACTTACAACGTCAAGGACAGCACCGCCGATATTGAATTTTTATTTATACCAATCAAAGAGACCATGTTTAGTCTCGACAAATGCAGCACGAAAGAAGTATTTTTTCTTAAGGAGAATGATTAATGTTCTGTTTTGATCGTTTTCAATAACAGAATGTATCAACACACAGATGAAAATAAACATTTTTACGTCGTATTGAAACTTTTTTTCACTATCCTTTACACTCTTCAATATATTGATTGTCTTCTTATAGATCGATATCATTATTATTCGTATTTATAATCAGCTTGTAAGATTAAAAATCAATGGTACTTTGAACAGTGGACAATGTGTGTGTGTCTCTTTTTTTAGCCAAACTGGATCGTACAAGATATTGCACGGCAGCAGAATGGACTGACTTTCTCATTAATACAGTAAAGTTACCTGAGCTTATGAAAGAAGAAATACAAAAGTCGGCCCTATTGCTGGAATATCATTGCATGACCATTGGCTACTTCATCGATCTGTCTGAGGAAGAACTGGTCAGTTGCATTGAAGATCAATTTTTGTTGTCTCTTTGCTCTCTTTAATGATGAAACAACAGATCGAAAACTTGTCTCGAATTTTCTTCATGTGACTACTCATTAGATGATCTTTGACAGCCACTAATCTCGCCTAGTTTGTGTTCACCCATTCATTTTCAACTGAGAATAAATAATTCTATTCAAAAAGCTGTCAGTATAACCCCAGTAGGATTAAATTGTGAAACATGATGGATCAGTTCCATTGATAAACAAGAGTCCTACCTACGTTGATCGTATTGTAGTTAATGATCAGATATACTAATATATTCTTTTTGTCTGTGAGGAGAAGATGGTTCACTTTTCTCACAATATACTTCAATAATTATTTCTAATCGTGCTGTACAAAACGAAAAACTCGTACTCAATAGTATATTTTTAAAAAGTCCTATTTTCCTCGTTCAGGTTTTAGTAAGTTAACAGATTAATTTTGATTGTTCATTTACCGGCTGAAGCAGTAGAACAAGTAAAAAAAAAGAAACAGTACATTTTTGTGGACTCAGTCATGAAACTTTGATTTTGAAAACAAAAATACGCAAAGATTGGCTTTGACTTTTCACAATGTTATATCTTTTGATTTATAGTCAAATTTCATTGCAATATTTTAAGATAGCACATTGAGATCTAAGATGAAATATGCGCTAAAATTTCTGCTAGTCTAAAAAGAAATGAAAAGTTCACAATCTTTTTCTTTAGAAGACAAAATTCAAATTTGAACGTGAAGGTTTACTCAAACGGATTATAGAATGGAAAAAATCTTTATCTACTACGACTACATCGGTTTCATCTTTAAGTAATGAGCGATCTTCTTGTTTATCTCAAGATATGAATCCGTTGCTGAGCCTTGTTGATAGTGTCAAAGCACCTATCAATATGGAACACATAGGACCAGCTATGTTATCATTAGCGGCAAATAGTCAAACCAATATACCCGAAATGACTCATAATTATTTATCAATTATTAGTAATTTGGAAAAATTCAGTGAAAACATGGTACCTCCCGAACGGCGTGTTTATTATCGATGCAAAGCATGTAATCAAGCCGTCTGGGTGGCACAAGAAATGAGTGCATTCATAAACTTTCCTGGTTGCTTCGAGTGTCAGAAGGAATGGCTCAATAATCTATGTAAATTCAAGTAAAATAAGATTCAGCACAAACTAAAAATGGATGAGTTGTGTCTTTTATCTACTATCTACCAGAGATGTGCGGTCCACGTGGCAATGGGCGGGCGAGGAAGAAAAATTTAATTAAATGCGGGATTAACGGGACGCGGGTATTTTCCGGCACACGGGCGGGCGAGGCGGGGAATAATTTTTTTAAATGATACGGGTCTCGGGCGGGCCGGTCCAAGAAGCTGCCTGTGCGGGGTACGGGCGGAGCGGGAATTCTCATAAAGAATATCCATGGGGCTCGGACGGGACGGGTTTGTGAATTTTACGGGGCGGGCCCCGCGGGGCATGAAAAATCAATGCCCCGGACATCTCTGCTATCTACACCGTCACTTTTACTTACACACTCATTTCATTTGTGTGCAATTGCATGTACTACTAATACTCAAACACTCTCTAATATATAGAAAAAAATCTTCAGCAATTCTCTGCCTTGTGACAAAAGAAATAAAACATCGCTCCACTAGTAGAAAAGCACAACTTTCAAACAACAACATTGAACTAGATGAAAGACTGCTCTATCTTGTAGCTATAGGGGCGCAGTTTCAAGTCTAGAAGGATCCGTTATTGGCATAGCAGGGTGTGCGTGCATGTGGGTGGGAAGGGGCAAATGTGGTTCATAGAGAAGTCTACTCAGACCCTTAGCGTTCTGAGTATATAATATGTTAAAAAGTTTGATGAATAATTGAATAATATGTAACAAATAAGAATTAAATGTGTAGGATTCGATTATGATAAAAGATAAGAAGGCAATTACGATGAGACAGGAACACTTTGTAATAAGTTTACAAATTCCATTTGCTGTTGGATATTTTTGATGAACACGGATAGATTATAATGGATTTGTACAATTTTTTTGCATTAATTTTCATATTTTTTATCGATATTGTCAAGTTCCTATGCTAATTTTTCAAGTTCATGGATAATGCTGACGTATGAAAACTATTTACATATGTATATTGCGATTTTAGACACATTGTGATGAATTTGTCTCGTTTTCTTTCTTATGTCCTTTATCAAAGAGACTTTAATCTTCCTTGTTTTTATTAGTTTATTGAATGAAATAGGATGATTTACTTTGGTTTCTTACATTTTTCGCTTTTCCAACTCGATACAACGACTATTACAAAACTTATTAGCAGTCGATATAGTTATGTTTAGAAACATTAAGCTATTTAGCATGCTAACTCAGGTCATGAATAGAAATGAGGATGCATGAAGATGATTTGAGTAAGTGTCAACTCACATCAATGATTCGATCTTAACAACTGATGCGGATCTGCGATTTTTCTCATCATATTTCTAATTTGAGTACGAC